AAGGCATACATAAGTTTGTTCGTCTTTTCCCAGTAGGACTTTTGCTCTCCAGCATTGCGGCTTTGTGCCATGTTGTTTGCTAGCTGCAAAGGGCCTATTGACCTCAGACCAGAAGAGAAGATAACTCAACCTCTTTCCCAGGGCCCTCTCATCTCCAGAGAGGAACCCCGGAAACTGGGGTTTGGATTGCCCTACCCCAGGAGCTTATAACCCGGAATGAGCAACTCACATTTATGTTAGAGTGTTTTCATGGACTGGTTTATTTTTACGCATCACTTTACAGAACTTTTTCCTGCACAATTTGAAGCTCCGCTACGTCTGTGAGGAGATTCGATGGTTGATATGAAAAAGAAATTTCCCAGCCTTAAAACGTCAAAAATACCATTTTCAGGTCTGTTGGTTTTGCTGACTGGTTTGCGCGACTTAAAAGATATTGTAAATTCAAGCCAAAATTGTTCCAAAAATAGACTGGACAGTGAGTATGACGTGACATGATCACCTAGAGGTTGTTCACTCCAAGTTATGAGCTCCTGACTTCCCTTCAATTTCGTATCCAGTCTCGTCAGACTCTCTGGATAAGGGATAAATTAACAGAATATTTCAAGTTTTATTTTTAGTCATTTATTTCTAAACATACGAAGTAACTATATTATGATCTGACTTGCTCTATACATCCTTCTAGGTCCTTCTAGAATAAGTCAAGTGTGTTCAGAAATATAATTAGAATCAATAAGTTAAAAAACACGAGAAATTTAAATATCTTTTATAACATTCTGTTATCGTTGTGATAGCAAGCAGATCATAAAGCCTTGGTTTTGCATTGGTACGGCTTGGATTTTTTTCTCTCAATTACTGAGAGGAGAAGTCGTTACGTCTCAGAACTCAACGAACCATGGTCATGCAAATATGGCAGGAAAAATATGACATGTGCAACTTTCCTGTGCATGACTGCACTTAGCCTGTGTACAGACGTCCCCCCTCCCTCTGAGGGAGGGGGGACGTCTGTACACAGGCTAGATTGCACTCAAAAACACAACAATAGCCCATACCTTTCTTCTACCGTTCAGTAATGTAAATTGCTGTTTCCGCCATACACAAATTCCCACCAAATTGTGCAGACTTAAGGAAGACTGTTGAGATCCAGACATTTTGTTACCATGGTTACGTCACGTCATACTTCTCCCCTCTATTTAATTTGCTTCAAGATTCCCACAAAAGCCATGCCCCTCAGCGATAGTCACATTAGGGTTACCACGATGCTCTCACAGCGAGTTGTCTACTTTGCTAATGAAACAAAAGACTGTGACCCTCCCCCGATCGAAAACAGATGTTTCTTAGAGCTTATGGCTCCAGCAAGTGTTATTTCAGATACCGCGTGTTTACCACTAAAGAAGTTCACAGACTCGAGGTCAATTCTCAGGGGGATACTCCCCATCATTGCCTGTGAGGGGAGGCTCCGCCCGAAAGGAGTATCTCCCTCATGAAAGGTAGGATTTTCACTTGATGAAGTATACAAAAGGGAAGGGAAATTCGTCATTCTGGTATGTAAAAAGGCCCAAAATGGCTGACAGATGTATTTAAAAAATCTGGTTTTGTGATTTATTCAGAGTGAATTTATATAAAGTAGAAGGGTTGCAAAGTTCTAAGCTTAGTATCTAAAAGGGGTACCATATGTCAAAAGAAGGTGTACGAAAGGGGTGCCGTTTCTATCAAAAGTAGTATATACAAGGGTAAGAGGTTGGAACACAAGGCGGAGCCTCCCTGTTGGAAACTTTGTTGAGTAGTACCCCCTGGGGGTCATTTTTCTAGCAATATAACTGGGGTTCTTCTTCAGGTGAAATCATCAGACATCAATCCTCCAGCGCATGATCGTTTTTGCTTGCTCATTTGATTTTGCATTGTCTCTGTTAAATATGCCTAAATAATTCATGAATCGTCACGTGGAGAATATGGAGGAAATTACTACCTAGAAGGTTTGGAAATCGGATGATCTTAAATACTCTAAAATTTTGTGACCTTTAGCTTTGAATTTTTACAAAAATATTAATAATTTGAGTTCCACTGAAAACTATGTTTGATGTAATTTCCAGATTCCATAAAGTCGATTTAAAACCTTGACAACCTCGTTTTTGCAACATTACATCAAGGCAACGAAGGAAAGGGTTTTAGCAAAGACTTAAAGGTTAGGCAACGATTCTAGAAATACATATATCAAAAGCTCTTCACAATTAATAGAATGATCTTGGTGGTAGACTAGATTTCCGCAGCTACCTTGGTCCTACCTGATCACGGAAAGAGCGCGGGCTCATTTTCCAAACAGTGGTTGGTAATCAAGCCTGGGTAGGTACTTCATATTTGATTCCTATAGTGTACTGTTATATAGATTCTTCGAGTGCAGTCTTTCTTCTAGTGTACCGAGGTCAGTGTCTTGGCCTACTTGTGTCTTGGATTGCTTGAGTATCTTGGCCTACTTGTAAGCCAAGCACCTTGGTACACTGGAAGAAAGACTGCACTATAAGAATCTTTATTTCGGTACAACTGTACTATAGGAATCTATATATCGATACACTATAGGAATCATATATGAAGTATCTACCCAAGCCTATCTTGGCGGTCATACCGGAAAACTTCCCATTGATGAAGTGTGAGTGAAAAAAGGTCTCGTTTGTGAAAATGGATTTGCCATGGAGCCAAAAGACAGCTGGCTAGCTGGTAGTGTGTCCATGCCAAACGAAGATTGGGGCTGAAAAGAATTGACTGTAGTAGTAATGGGTCCCAGTGGGAAACCAGAACTTGCATTACTGGCTGCATAAAACGATGAGGTGATACTATCAACAGAGTGTTTTAAAAAGCTGGTAGATGTAGCAGAAATGCTGTTCACAGCTGGGATTATTCCTTGCTGATTTGAAGACCCTTCTCTTGCTCGTCTGCTATCGCTGCTACTTGTAACTGTAAACTGTACTGGCGCAGAATTTGCAACAGAGACTCCATACGCACTGTTTGATATATTAGAATTAAAAGTTCCTGTTGGCTGAGTAACAGTAGCTGCAGATTTCTGTTCTCCTAGGTCTGAAACAGTTGCGAGTATAGAGTTCGATCCTACATCGTGTGCCATGTTGGGTTTAACAGAGTGGAGTAAATTTGGATTCACAGACACCATTGCGGTGCTGTTGAAATTTGCGTCAGACCGCGATGAGATCAAATTGTCAATAGCGTACGACAAACTTGAATTTAAATCACTGGAACCAATAAGAGACTCTGCGCTAAAATCAGAATATGTTGTCCTCGATGGCCTTGATTGAATTTGGGATTCCTGTGCAATATCCCCAATGAGTTCACTTCCTCCAATAAGCGCCTCGGCGGAATAGTTTGAAAAGCTCTGTGTATGGCTGTGTTGAGTAGCTGTATTATGCGCAGACTGTTCATTGGGTATATTGTGCACTGACTGTTCATTGGATGTACTGGGAGGAAGTACTCCTCTGGTATTCTGGGCTGAGGGAACAATGGCTAATGTGAAACTATTTGGCTGATTTGAGCTGTTTTCGGAAACTGAGGTAGTTGTTATGAGTGGAATGTTAGGCAAAATGACTTCGCTTGAAGCAAGCAAAGACTCGGCTGAAAAACTAAGATTCCCTGGAGCAGATGTTGACACTTGTTGATGTTGATGAAGGTCTGTTGAAGTTTGTTGCTGTCCTATACTCTGAGGTAGTCCTGCTAATGACGCAATACTATGTGACAGGCGTGGCCCATGCGCTGGCTGACTCAAAGCCACAGTAGAAACAGGCAATGTTTGTTTACCACAATCGTTCCCAGTAGGAACAATATTGGCAACAGATGCCCCCTGAGGTGAAATACCAGAAATTAAAGCACTGACATTGAAATTCTGTACCGTAATTATCTCCTCTTGTGACTGACACACATTCATATTTCCTTGTGACTCCTGGGAGCTGAGCGCGTTAGATCTCTTCACCAAGCCATTGTCACTTGTACCTATTAAGTGTTCCACTCTGCGTTTATTTGAAGCTGAGTTTGTTTTTCCTTCAAAAGAAGCTCTGCTTTGTGAGTTGCTCCTTGTGTTTTGAGATTTAGAGCTAGTTTTTGAAGACGCTTTGTTCGCAGTAGTACTTTTTTTTGCTTTACCACTTCCGACAATTTTTGAGGTTACATTTAAGGTCTTCTGTTGTTCAATCGCTCCTTCACTTTGCGATTCTTTTAAAAGAGATATGCCATTTTGAATGGGAGAAGTAGTGACTTGAAAGCTACCAATTTGTGAAGCTGCAATTTGAGCAGAGTTTGCTTGTTGAGTTAAAATGCTGCTTGATGCCGGCAAAACGGAAGGTGGTAAGGGCAACATGGTGCTTGAGTTTTGAACAATACTAGGTGTATTTATCACTGTGGGTTGGACATTTAAAACAGCAGTACTGTTATTTCCGATTGAAGGGTTTGCCAGCGGAACAGCGTTCACCAGATTTACCCCAGAGTTTGACATTCCTGGTTGCAGTGTAACCTTCATTATTGCGGCAACACTGTGTTGAGAGAATCCTGCATGAGAAGGTTGCAAAGCTTGTGATGAGCTGATTGGTATGTTAACAGTTTGTAAGGGTTGTGGGGTTGAAGAGCTTGCTAAATCACTTGTAATCTGAGGATTAACACTCTGATGAGAATTGGATAAATAGTTTGAAGAACTGTTTGGATTTTGTTTCGGTTGGTTAAGCTGCAGTTGTCCAGGGTTGTTAGCTACATTCTGTGCAACAAGTGGGGTAGCAACCTGAACCACTGGAGAAGCTGTAGCTACGGTGCTTGTCGTCATGGAGATTGGATTTGTCCCAATGATAAATGGGGTAACGTAAGCAATTGAATCTTTCTTTGACAAATCGTTAGTGGAACTTGTGACAGAAGCAGAAGTGATTGGCACCTGTGTTACCATAGTGACAACAGGAGCATTGACTGGTACTTGGACAGGTGCACATAAAGTTGTAGGCATTGTCATGGATACTGGAGCTGATACTGCCACAATTTTAGGGCTGGCCATGGTCAAAGAGTTGTTTGTTGTTCCAGAGTTATTAGATGCAGATGAAGAAGAATCCTGCACTGTGAGGATTTTTCTTGGAATGGCTATACTGTGCTTTTTAAGTAAATCTTTCAAGAGCTTGTTTTCTTTTGTGATATTCCCAAGTTGATTCTTTAGTTGCTGAACCTCTTGGGCTGTAAAATAATGCATGTTTTAGTTGTCATTACTTTCCTGTAGTACTCTTTATTTTGCTACATGTATATCAGGTGTTTCTAAATATCGATGAACTCCTAAATTGTGACCATCCAAATGAAAGCTACTGAGCAGTACATTCCTGTGGTACTGTTTGTTATGATATACAAGGTGGTTCAAACTTTTGAATCTGTGGATGAAATCCTAAATTGTGACCATTCAAATGAAAGCTACTGAGCCGTACTTTCCTGTGGTATTGTTTGCTATGATGTACAAGGTGGTTCAAACTTTTGAATCTGTGGATGAAATCCTAAATTGTGACCATTCAAATGAAAGCTACTGAGCAGTACTTTCCTGTCATACTGTTTACTGTGCTTTACAAGGTGGTCCTGTCTTTTGAATCTGAATGTGAACTTGTGAGTACTGTTCTGTACTGCTAGAACTTGTGGCTCTCTTTGAGTTTTGATGTAGCCATTTATAGGAACAAACAAATTAATACAGGTTTTTCAGTAAATTTCTTACCCAGTTTTTGTTCTCTTTGCTGCAGATCCCCAAATGCCTTCAGTTGCTCATTTACTTGTGTTACATACTCTACAGTCTTTTCCAGAACAATGTTTTTACTCTGAACACAAAAACAACTCAACAATCAGCAGAGATGGCAACTTCCAGAGATCTAAAATCTGGAGACTCTCTCTTTTGAACCATCCCCCTTCCCACCCCCAAATGTCAACTGACCCCCCACCTACCCCCAAACAAATCAACCAAGCCCACAAATAATAACATGGGAATGGATTAGAACATTATTTGAAGTCTTAGATGAGGTACATAGCATGGAAATTCGCTTTCATCTTTGTACTATGACAAAAATGACCCAGAAACCTTACAATGGATAAAAAAATTCAAATTTTGAGCAAAAAATGAGTTCAATATCAAACTAAAGCACAGAAGAAATTAAGTCTATTTTTTGGTGACCTATATGGGAGAGAGGGAGATTGGTGCCATATTTAGAAGACTTCCAGATAATCCAGGTGGGTTTGCATATGTGACACACAGATCCTACAAATCACACATTGGCTGCTGAAGAAATAGGTGGAGGTGTCTAATTAAAGCAACCCCTCTGCAATGACAAATAAAAATCAGAGAGGGCTAGCTGGAGCAGGACTTCCAGACATCTTTGCCACTGCTACAAACTCAGTGATAAGGGGTTTTAAAATCTTGAAGCCCCTAAAGAAAAACTGTAGTGAATTTTTTGAATTTGGACAATCCAGCAGGACTTTTCTCTTTAGGTGGACATCACTAGTTGATGACAATCCCCACCCCATCCTCTGACCCCTACTTTAGCAGCGCATTTTTCAAAAAAAAAAGAAAAGAAAGAAGAGATAAATAAGACACTCTATTACATAGTATAAGCTGTAACCAAGACTACCCACTGGACTTCACAGTGAGTGACTGGTAGCTGTGGATTACAGATATACAGTAGACTCTCTTAACGTTCACCTCTATAATACAGACACCTTGGTAAAATAGACACCTAGAGTTGGTCACTGCCTTTCATTATCCCTTATTTGTCTCTTTATTAGACAGACATCACTGTTAGATGGACACTAAGTGTCAGTGCCAAATGTTTCCGTCTTAGAGAGGGTTGACTATATGCAGTACTCTACTAGCCTACGAAGAGCAGACGTATTTCCAGTCGTTGCTTCTCTCCCTCCGAAAAATTATTTTATCAGCGGGTGAAACAAGAGCCGAAAAATGCGTCTGCTCCCCGCAGGCTTGTACTATACCTGCTTTCCCCATTTGCACTGTGGGACAACATCGGCCAGCTTAAATATCCAGCTGTTTATTTTGTCCTTTCTCCTTCTTTCCACTACAAAAGATAATTACAGTATGCATAAGGCACTTTTGTTCATTATTTTCTGTTGAACATTCCCTCTTATCTGAATATTTTTTCCGTTATTTGTTTGAACTGTAACTTATCATCACTAAGTATTCACTATTTTTTCCACACCAACAAAAATACTCAGAACCACCTTGCACAGTATAATAAACAGTACCACAGGAAAGTACTGCTCAGTAGCCTTTATTTGAATGGTCATACTTTAGGATTTCATCCACAGACTCAAAAGTTAGAACCACCTTGTACAGGATAATAAACAGCACCACCGGAAAGTACTGCTCAGTAGAGTTACTGATCATAGGTTAATGTCATACTTTAGAATTTCAGCCACAGACTCACAAGCTGACTCAAAATTTACAAATTTTGGACAACCATAAATAATTGACCAGGAAAATGTTCGTGATGTTCTTGACAGCTTTTATGAGCTATCACCAATGTTATGGTATGTTATCTACGACATATGTACGTGGCAGCTTAAATCTTTTTAAAACACGACCATTTTTACACAAGCTTTATATGTACGAATTCTTTTTGCTCTCTCATTACTGAACTAATTTTAAATTTTTCTGTGGCTATATTGTCTTTTCTCTTACATTTTTTAAATTGATTGGGAAATTATCATCAGGCTTTTGGCACTTATACAAGTTAGTGTGTTGTCTTAATTACCCAACCTTCATTATGTACAATCCTCCTTCTTGTTTGTTGTGCAATTCCCCCACTAGACAAAATTGAAAATAAGAGTTGTCACTTAGTGAGAGCTTTGTTTACATTTAAATTGGCAGTGGTTTGGGAATTTTTTGACTGCATTTCCATGATTTTAATTTGTTGTAAATTCAGTAACGAAAAATATGTTCTACCTTACAGAAAACACAAACAGGTCAATTTGATTGTAGCCTTGCCCTTGTGGCGAGGGAAGAAATGCGAGCTCCCCTAAAATGCCTGCAGATGAGGCTAATTTCAGTGCTTTCTTGGTATTTGTTGGTACGACCAAGCGGCTGAATGTTGTCTTCTGAATTTCATAAAACTATTATGAAACAGTTTCCCATATCGTCCCCCTTCACAAAATGGTGAATAGCCAAGGATATCCAGCCCCATTAAGAGGTTGACATAAATGCTTACACCACCCTCGTCATTATGTATCAAGTGATGTAGACAAGGAATATAGAGCTTTTAGCTTATTAGCCATCTTGACTGTTGTGTTTATCTTACGAAGGGAGCCAATCAAAATGTGCAAAAATTGCTATCCAGATGACAGATTTGGTAAATTAATAGAATAGCACATACTTGCCAACTTTCCTTAATTCAAAGGCACAAGATTTGTGATTTGTATAAGGACTGAAAAAGAAACCTTTCTGCCTTTCAATGGTAGAGTAGAGCATTACTGATTTTTTTTTACATAAGGTGGGTCAAAAGTATCATCCGTTGGAAGGACGGAGTTTATCAAAACCAACTGTTCATTTCACAAAGTACAATTTATTTTTTCTCAGCTTGCTAAAAGATAAGCCAGGATGTAATCTCTCGACTTCAAAAGCAACAGTTTGTCTATAGGTTACAGCATGTCATATCTTGCAGCACAAACATAGACAAAACATTAACACTATCTTACCTTAGTACTATATCTGACGAGACATAATAAGGAGTTTGATTACTTGTGGGTGATGCAAACCTGTAGGAGAACACACTTGGAGGGATCGGCTTGGTGGTATTTTGAAGTGCAGGAAATTCTTTCTGGACCACACCATTAGTAGTTGACACTAAAATTATCGAAAGGAAAGGAACATGTGTATGAAATTTTTATTACATCAAAAAGAAGTGAATTAAATAATTTGCTTTGTATGTAATAATCAGGCTGAACAAAATCACTTGGTTTCTGATATAGTAGTTCTGATGAAGATGATTCCGTGTTTGACTTGTCTCACACACCTAATTTATCATTTTTAACATCACTGCATCACATGGCTATTTCAGCTCAATGTGAAGGTTTGATCCTCATCTCCCTTTGTTTCCTGTCTCTTATCATTATGCAGTAAAAAAGCTTTAAAAAAGGGTAATTTAATTTGTTTGTTTCTGACTTACGATTAGGGTTAGAAGACAAAGATAACCCGTGAGAATCAAACTAAATTAAAATCATATTGATTTTAACTAACAACAAGGTTGTTGTTGTTGTGAAGAAACTAAAACTGCATTAGAGTGACACTGCAACAAAAGTTTTGAAAACCTGTAAGGAAGTCATTGCTTTTTAATGAAAGAACATCAGTGCCACTTTTTCGTCCTTACCACATTTTGACGTCATCTGTTATCTACTACTGAACAGAATGACAGCAACATGGAATCTAATATTGAGAAATAAGCTGTTGCCTTTCTGTTTATTTGTTCTTTCATTACAGTGAAAAATGGCTGTTTTTAATGTTGATTCCAGGAGAAGTTTCTTAATCACATTCAAGAAATAAATTGTCAGAAAGTCTAGCTATCTAATCCTGTTGCCAAATATTGTCATTTGGTGGTTAGGCTGATTTACCGGTAGCAACAGAATGGGGATGTCAGTTGATGATGGCATGCTCAAAATCAAACAACTAGCTTCACCAATGGCAGAGTGGCAAATTATCCAGAAGTCATGTTTTGTTTTTTTCCATGTACTTTCCCGTCGTCAACTGACATTCCCGTTCTGTTGCTAAGTCAGCCTATTATTGGCATGGGTGTGAGTCATTAAGGACCAGGGGTCAGGGATTTCTTCCAGCTTCTATGAACACGTAGTGAAGTCTGCGAAACAGCCCCAATATTCTTGCTATGGGCCACCAATGGACTTAAGAAATTACTGGAAATATGTTTCACATTTCCCTTCAACCTGATTGGCAAATCAACGATGGCATTTTTAACAGGCTAATCATGGCGCATACTCAAATCCTGGTACTCATGTGGGGAACCAGAACAAGGATTTCAGCGCTGTTTCGCAGACAGACTTAACCAGAAGTTAAGTTCCGTCTGTAGTGCAGGCTCCAATGAATGTGACCCCCGGCTCCTTTCATTATCAGGAAAATAGAAGAAATTTATAGAACCAAGAGAAATCCATCGCTGTTTGATTCTCCGCCTACTTGCTGCATTCACCCAGTAACGTGAAATCTTAGACACAGCCCTGACTGGTGTATAATTACAGAAAACAGCTGTTTAGTGCCCCGAACAGCTGTGCTAGATCCAGCACTGCTTAGCAGGACTAGTAGGACACACTTCTAATTCACTGGCTAAACAAATATGAATAATCTGAGTAATCGATTATAAATTATCTACAAGTGAATCAGTCTATTAAAAACGTGATCGTGAAGCTTCTATTAAAGTAAATAATGGTGAAAGATTTTACCCTGTGAAGACACATCTTAAATCTTATACATCCATTTCACGCACAATATATGGCCCACCGAGTTTCTCGTTAGAAAGTAAGAGGTTTTCATTTTAGATGAAACGGATGAATTATTTAGAGTTAAACTTATCTCAGGTATATTCAAATCTAGCTAATTCGAAGTTGTTTGTTTTGTTTTCATAGCTTGCATATCAAAAAGATATACAAACCTAGCTAGAAACCTAGATATAGGTATTGATAATCACATATCACAATAAAATTAGCTGCTTCTGCATTGAAATAACCATTAACCACCACTGAGGCAGATGAGCACTGGGTGAACGTAGAGACAACGTAAAGACTACAGTATAAGCTTATTCCATCATTCGCTCCCCATATTAACGACAAATTGCAGGCTATAAGACTAGTTATACTCCTTTAGCTTCTGCAACATTAATAAAAGGAAAAGTATTTAACCTACCTACTGGAGGAAGTGATGGCGCTGGAACGAAGATTCCTAAAGCATTTTGCTGAAGCAAAGAGGGTCCTGAAGAGACATGTCCGCCATCTTGGATATTGTTGATGTCCGCTGAAGTTTCGCGACCTCCGTTGTTCAATTCTTTTGAGACATTAGATGGTTTTTCTACAGACGATGAACCATCGACGGTGGCCATACTAAAAGAATTAAATAACTTGTTGCAATATCCATCCTTTCCAATAATTCTCGCCAGCCATGAAATCTACGAGAAAGAAAATAAAACATTTTCAGTTTGGAGAGTTGATAATGTGATCAACACTCGAGACCATGAATAAAACTCCTACGTCTTAATTAATGTTTTCTGATAAGACCAACAGCTATTATCTCAAATATTTATTTACTGAGATTACAAAAAACGTAAAATATCCGGAAACTCACCCACAATAGCCGAACAAGAGCACGACGAATGATTCCTAGAGATAAATTCTCCTATGAATTCTATAAGCCTCAAAGAAATCCTCGATTCTGCAATTTGATTGGTCTAGCTCGCTTGGAAGAGATCCAAGTCAACCTCAGCAACAGAGAGCTCAAAAATTGAGTACTTTGTTTAAGATATTTGTTCTTCATTGATTATTTGGATGATACATATTGATTATATTGATTATTTAGATGATACATATTGGCTTCGAAGAAGCAGATTTTTCGC